AAAAAAAAAAAAAAAAAAAAGAAAAGAAGAGCACATATCTATTCATTTGAAGCACTTAAGGGTACTGACCTGGCCAAAACTAAAACCAATCAATTATTTGTACCTCTTCTAAAGAAGGAATAATGGAAGAGAAGAAGTCTGTAGTGAGTCCGGCAAGGGGATTCCAAAAAACAAGAATCTAACAGTACAGACAATGCACTAAGGGTACCTGCACTAGAGAAAAGGAATCTGGGGAACACAATTATTCTCATCACCAGACAGGTACACTGTTAGAACAGGAAAGATGGCTCAGCATCCTTCACCATTTCCTCAGTAAATGATTCCATACAATTATTACCTAATTTTATTCTACAACTACATTTAGCAATTCTCCTTCTGATGAATAAATTTAGCAACTCTACTTCCTTGATAAGAGAAAAGGACACCTTGGCCAGCACACATTAATATCTCATTCTATAGAGGGTGAATAGTAAGCTGACACTCTGGTGATTCTACTTCCAGTGGTTATTGAAGAACTCCTCACAATACTTATAACTACTAGTGCACAGATATAAAATTGAGTTTCTGGACCTGTAAATCTCAGGAGTGGACTTGGGAGCATAGCACCCAGTTCTTAGAACAGCTGCTCTGTGAAGTCCTGTCTGGGTAGCCTGCTGATCACTTTAGATCAAGAGGTGACAAACTATAGCCTGAAAGCCAAATACAGTCTCTTGCCAGTTTTGGTATATAACATTTTCTTGGAATGTGGTCACATTCATTTATTTATACCCTTCTATGGCTGCTTTCATGTTACCACAGAGAGCTGAGTGGTTGAGATGGAGACTGTCTGGCCCACAAAAACTTAAATATTTACTATCCAGCCCTTTACCAAAAAAGTGGGCTGACCCCTGCTTCAAATGATTTCTCCCTCTCATTTCATAACAGACATAAGCTTTATCTTATTCTGTAACAGAGCTCATTTCCTCAATTTTCAATGGGCAGAGGGACTTGCCCCTAATTCCAACTAACTTTGAGATATCCAGAGATGAGAATTCCACGGTCACTGGTCATCAACTAATTACTACAAATCAGTGTTTTCAAAAAACTTAATGCAGTTATAAAGCCAGCTCTTATTAACTTTCTCCTCTAGATAATTCCTGTAGTTTTACAATTCTTAAATCATCAGTGGTTTCAAATTAACTTTTCATAAGTTCACCACCTTTTTCAAATCATGAGTTTATTAGGCATATTACTTATAACTAGTGTGGAGACTAGCATTAATATAGTTTCCTCATTTTTTACTCCTATTTATATACCCCCCAAATTATGACTTTCTCATTTTGAGAGAGGTGTAATTTTATTTTTAACAGCAGTACTATATCAGTAACAAATTCTTTACTGACATTCTTTGCTACTGAAATTGCCCAAATCCAGTTATTTCCAATTCTGATATTTATGAAATCAATTATTTTTCCCTACCAGAACAGCAGCTTGACAAAATCCAAAGTAAATATAAAGCAAGGCAGCCATAAATGCATTAATGGGTTTCTTTCTTAAAAAGAAGCAAAGAAAGCTTTAAAAATTGTTAATTTACATGAGAAGTCAAACAAGAACTATGACAACATAGAGGAAAAAATCCAACAATCTATGTTTCAATATATGGTAGCATTGTCAAGGGAAAAAAGGAAAGATTAAGAAAATAACTTCTGGAAAGCAGCTGAAGCAAATCATTCTACTGTAACTACCTATAAATCACAACAAAACATTCTACTATAAATCACATGTAAAAAGGAAAGCTACGCAACAGTAACTTGGGGGCTTTCCTGGTGGCGCAGTGGTTAAGAATCCACCTGCCAATGCAGGGGACACGGGTTCAAGCCCTGGTCCGGGAGGATCCCACATGCCACGGAGCAACTAAGCCCGTGTACCACAACTACTGAGCCTGCGCTCTAGAGCCTGCGAGCCACAACTGCTGAGCCCATGTGCCACAACTACTGAAGCACGTGTGCCTAGAGCCCGTGCTTGGCAACAAGAAAAGCCACAACAATGAGAAGCCCATGCACCGCAACGAAGAGTAGCCCCTGCTTGCCGCAACTAGAGAAAGCCTGCACACAGCAACGAAGACCCAATGCGGCCAAAAATAAATAAATAAATAAATAACAGTAATTGGTAAGCAGGACAATGAGGTCATATTTGAATTACTCTTTTAAAAGAGAAGAAAATAAAAGAAATGTCTTCAGAGAGTCTCATAGATATAGAGGAACCATAAACAACCAGAAAAGGGGAAGATGAGAACTAAAAGTTGAATACATTCCCTATGGAAAAAAATTTTCCCAAATTCTACAAAGTGATATTCAAAAGTATTGAAGCTTACATAACATGGAATAGCAGATCAGAATATTGTCTGTTCATGACATCAATTCTAATAAGTAAAAATCTTACTGGGGGAAAAAACAAAACAATTTCACCAAGAACAACAAAGTATAAATGTCCATATTTCACTTCTGAATAATTACACAAGAATATATATAAAATACCCATTAGGTTTTACCTGAATGTGTCCGAAAATGCATTTCCAGACTTGATTTGCCTTTAAAAATTTTCTTACAAACATCACACTGATGAAAGGTTGCTTTATATCTAAGAAAATAAAAAGGTTTGAGCTTTTCAATATAATTTTAATAAATAACATAATGAAAATAAGTTACAACTTCATTTACAACTTCATATATAATTCTCACATTAGTAAAGCATAGAACTCCAAATGAACATGGAAATAGTTTCGAAGTATCAACCTTATCTCTGATTCTTCCTTCTCCAGTTATATTTAACAAATAAATCTATAAAAGATGTCCTTAGATTTTCAACTTTAAACTGCTTAATTTTAAGCTTTAAATCAGTAAACTTTTGTATTATTATTTTCTGTTAAAAAATACCAAAGGAAAAATTGTAGGGACAGAAAAAAAAAATCAATGAGAGGGGTAAAAGGGGGTTGACTACAAAGGTACATGGTGGACATTTCAGGGGTGATATAGATCTATTCTGTGTCTCAACTTATGGTAATGATTACGTGACTGCATGCATTTGTCAAAACCTGCAGAGCTACACACTAAAAACAGTGAATTTCTCTGTATATAAATTGTACCCTAGTTAAAACAGATGCAAAAATGAAACTGCAGCAGTCTCAAAATCTGCATTCATCAAAAGGGGATACTTTTCCTCGGTAGGTACGCTTTATAACAAATAAATATTATAAACTCAAAATAAAATAAATTTTACACCTAAGTAAAAAAGAATGAGATACCAGTCCTTTATTTTTATTGTAGATTAATAGACATAAAAAGCTATAAATTACTCAGAAGTTAACTTAGAAGCAAAGTGTAGTGCCTAAGAGTATGTACTCGTGAGTTAAACAATCCTAAACTCAAAATTTAGTTGTTAGGATTAATATATTTGTAAAATGGTTAGCATTTAAGTGGTAGTTACTAGGAAAGCCATATCATCTCACCTTGGAAGCAATTCACTTCTAATGAGTACACAGAAAAACAAATCAAATACAGGCTACCATAATGTTCTAGAAGACAGTTGGCCTTAACATATCCACTGAGTGTTACTGGAATGTTTATCATGTTGTTACTAATATTAAATAGCAATAGTATGCCTAAGGTTTCAAATGCCATTCTCACTTTTCAATTCATCCAACTCTACATTTACAAAGTAGCTACAGAGACACCATGCAAGGCCCTGTCTTCTAGGAACTTACTTCTACTTGATGAAATGGACATTTAAAAAGATAATGTGGATTTAGTGAACTGGGAGTGTCATAGATAAACTTAGCAAAAGACTTGCAACCTGTATGCCTGGCTTGTCTTATTCCATGTATATCCATGGTAAATACAGAGATACAAACAGAGTTCCCACGGGCACATAGAGAAAGCAGCAGTGGTAACTGGACTAGGGGCAGTTTTGACCCCCCTGGGACATGTGGCAATGCCTGAAGACAATTTTGGTTCTCGCAACTAGGGGTAGGTAGGTGCTACTGGCCACTGCCATCTAGTGGGTGGAGGCCAGGGATGCTGATAAACATCCCACAATGCACAGGAAAGCCTCACAACAAAGAATGACCAGGCCCCAATGTCAGTAGTATTGTGGCTAGGAAATCTTGGTCTGTACTACGGACAGAGTGACATTTTAAACACAGATATGCTCAAAACACAAACTGTCTCACAGTGTATGTAGGAAAAAGATAAAATCTACAAGGACCTGCATGGGTCAGGCTCTATGTATATATCTCTCCATTCTCACACAGATGCTGAAGAGCAGAGATTTTCAGGGCAGGAGTGATACACAGTTCCACATGGAGCAGAGATGCCTACCTAGTATGAAAGGGATTTAAACATGTCTCCTAGATTTGGCAATAAGAGACTCCCACTGATAGCAACTGGAGAGGGATAGTAAGGTCAGAGGTCACATCCCAACAGCTTAACAACAGTGAACAGAAAGTGAAGGAGACGATACTGAAGGAGTCACCATTTAAAAACATTTAGAAGAAGAGACATTTGAAAATGACTGGTTGGGGGGTGGGTGCTAGTCTTCATCACTCTCCACGTTCTCTCCTTGAATAATCTGCACATAAAGTGCTCACGTGTAATTCTTTATACACAGCCCAGACTTCACTTCTGAGATGCAGACTACTATCCACCTATCGGATTTTATGTTTCAGTGTGCACTGAGCATCTCAAAGTCAATATACACCAAACTCATCATCTCCCTATGTTATATTCTCTAACTCAGTGGCTGGTGTCAATCAACCACTCACTTGGAAACAGGAATTCCTTGGAAACAGGAATCACCTGTGACTGCTCCCATTCCCTCAATAAAGGCCTAAATATTGGTCAAATAAGTACCTTCCACTGTTCATTATTAACGCTACTGCCTAGTTTAGGTCCTCACCATCTTTTTCCTAGATTATAACAGCCTTCTAACTGGTTGATTTACTTGCCTCCAGATTTATCCACCACTAATCCAGCTTCCATATATCAATAAGAGTGATGTACCTAAAATACAAATCCAATTGTGTCATCCTCTTGTTTAAAATCTTCAATGGCTTTTTATCTCTTAGAAGTAAGTGTTGGTTCCACAAAATGATCGTAAGGCTCCATATTCTAGATCCACCCTTAGCAGCCCTTGCAGAGCATGGAGAATACAGATTCTGGTTCCACAAGTATCTAGGCCAGCAGATAGGTCACAGGCCCTGCTGGTGGGGAAGATCCCAAAGCTCTTTCATAGGGTCTACGAGATCAAAATTATTTTCAAAATCATACTTTAAACATGACTTGCTTTTCTCACAATGTTGACATTTACACTAAAGAGCAAAAGGAACAGTGGGTAAAAGTGGTGGTGCCTCAGCTCTAAACAAGGTAGTGATACCAAAATGTACTAATGGTCACTGTACATTTTCACCATGATGTACTCACAGAAAGAAAAACAACTGTGATAAAGCAGTAAAATTACTAATTTTATTAAAGTTCATCCTTGGCACTGTGGCCTTTCTGCTAACCTCGTGATGAGGTGGGAAGCATGAAGCTCTACTGCATGTTGGGTACCCTGTGTGCTCGAGGCGCCTGCGAGACCCGCTGTGAGCCCAGGGATCCCTCCCCTCACGGAGCACCATTCCACTTGAGGAAACGGAAGTCAGAGTACAGCTGGACTTGAGTAGGTGGCAGACATTTTCTTGAAAATTCAATGAAGTAAGCCTGTCACTTCAAGGGAAAAAACTGACAGTATTTGTTATCAGTGACAAAATTTGAGCTTTCAAGCTAATTAAGAATTTTGGAAAACTTGCATCTGCCCCTGTGATCTTGACAGCTTCCCAGTTCTTCTGAGAGACTGGAAGCAATGTTAACAAGTGTGATTTGTTGTTCCTGTACTGTGAAATGTGGTAACATGGGGAAAATCTGCATAACTCAGTGAACCCTTATTTTCCAAATGACAAATGCATATTACAGTAGGTTAAAAATCCACTTCAGAGCACAAGATAGACCAATAGACTCAATGGAAGAGTATGAAAGCTTCATGAATCTTGTTTCAGATTCCTCTTTGCAACTACCTTGAAGAAACTACCACTGGTTTAGTTTTGGTGTGGCAGCAAAGAGTAATAACAACCACAATTTTCTAAGGCTTAATATTCCTCTACTCCTCGTTTTACCAACTATGTATCTGACTGAGCTAGACTTTCTTCATTTACTTCAAACAAAATAACACATAAGAGCACATATGACAATCCAACTGTCTTCTATGAAGCCATTAAAGAGATTTACAAAAATGTGAAACAATGCCACTCTTGGGACTTCCCTGGGGGTCCAGCGGGTAAGAGTCCACACTCCCAATGCAGGGAGCTGGGTTCGATCCCTGCTCATGGAACAAGATCCGCATGCATGTCGCAACTAAGAAGTCCACATGCCACAACTAAGACCCAGCACGGCCAAAAATAAATAAATATTTTTAAAATGCCACTCTTTAGTATTTGTTTTTGTTCTGTAATGTAGTTATTTTCCATAAAATGGCTATTCATGTTAGCATGATGGGTATATTATTATTTTAAATGAATTAATAAGTACTTAATTTTAAATCATTTTAATTTCTAATATGATTATATAATTTATTTAAACAATAATGTTATTTTTATATTATATAATTTCTATAAACAAAAGCCCCCGAGGTACTGAATAATATTTAAGGGTATAAAGGAGTTGAGAAAAACAGTTATAGAATCTCTGGAGCAAGTGAGTTTGCAGTTCTATTTTCCACCCACTCATACAATATGTTGGAAGTTTTTATTTTCTACTCCAGACAGCATCATGTACATCTTTATATCCCAACACTTAGCAGCATTCCTTGTATCTAGTGAATACAAGAGTTCAATGACTACAATGAATACATTGATTCAATGAGTGTATCACTGAACAAAATCAATGAAAGAAACAATAAACCAATACATGAAAATGGAAAAAAATACAAATCAACACTCATTACTCTTCTTCAAATTGGCCTATCATTTACTACATTTACATATACTATGTGTATTTTGTTGATCATATCATTACACTAAGTTTCTTGACACCTTAGACCAAGTCTATTACTTACCATTTGTTCTAAGTACCTAGTCCAAGAACAGAACTTCTTTGAACATTTTAAACTCAACAACTAATCTCAGTTAAGCTTGGATATCTAAACTGTACTAAAAAGTTGATGTTCAAAGACAGTACATACCTCCTTCAAACGAGATACCATTTTAAATGTTTAGTGTAAATAAAAAGAGGTTTAAATTCTGACAACAAACATTTTCCAGTAACTGCTGTCACATTAATGACACTATATGTAGGCAGTATGTTTATTTATATTTAGCTCTCCAAGAGCCCCTGAAACCAAACATAAATGAAATCCCCAAAGAAAGCCAAGATTTTATACTAGTCATTCACTTCAATGTCTACCTCCTCCTAGCCTTTGAATCAACCGAAAACAAGTATGAAAAATATGCTACATTCAATTCCTTTAGGTCTGCAGAAAAGCTATAGAAGCTAGAGAAAAATCGTTGATTAACCCAACCTCAATTACATAAAATGAACTATGAGACAACTTTCCTCCACCCCAGACTTATCAAGGTAATGATGATGAGAAACTGCCTTTTCACTTACTTTTGCCACACTTTCTCTCCAAGGTGTACACTTTTGTAATGGACAGTGAGATGATCCCTACGACCAAAGCATTTTCCACATTCTTCACACTGATGAGCCTTCTCACCTTAAAGACCCAAATATTTTCATTATAAGGTGCATTTCAATTTTTTTTTTATCCCCAGAAACAAATTATCCAACAGTAATATAACACGGTAGAAAACATATACCAGGAAGGTAAAGCCACCCTTTATCGGGGCTGTTTGCCTTATATTCTTACTCAAGTATCTTCCTTCAATGACTCTGTACTTATTTTTATGGGTGTGAAGCCTCCTCCCCACTTGGAGAAGGAATCAGTAGCCTTTTGCTGTACACTTCAAACACTGACTTTCAGTGTAACAGAGTAAGATAAATGAAAGGACTTCAAAACTCAGGATGTTTTTTAGGAATACGTAAGTCTGGATATCAAACACCTCAAATGAATGCACACTTAATCAAGATGAGGCTGTCTTATGTTTATAAAAAGGACCTGAACATTTTCAGATCTTTGTGCTTTACTTTTAAAAGATTTTTCATCTGTGGGGATTTCTTACATTTGCAATGAGCCAAAATACAAATATAAAGGAAAATTCTAGATGAGTCCAATTTGTCATCTCTATTCTTATATTCAGTTACAAAGGCTTGGCCTTTAAAAACCAGTCTCAACTTAACACCCGTGTGCAATTAAACATGTGACCTCTAGGATTAGGAATTTAGAATTCTCCTCCTGAAAATGGAAATGCGCAATTCCAGCGAGAAAGTCATCAGACCTTTAGCATCTCTTAAAAGTGGCAATAACAACCGCAACCTGCCTCACTGGGGTCATTTAAGAAAATGTTATAACTGTTGCATACTTTATATTTTAATTATGTTTAAAATAATAATAATAATCACCTGTTCTACTGGGGTCATAGAGATGGCTCTTTCCCATTATTGTGCTCATATAGGTGGCTCTTTTAGCACTTCCTGAACATCAATCTGAGAGGAAAATATGAAATAAATCCCCAGAGTATAAAAATTATAAATACAGAATAAAGATCTGAAATTGATCAGGATTATTAAGGTACTCTTCCAAAGACAGGGCTTCAAAAATTCACTAGTACATCAACTTTAACACCCCAATTATAATAACTCTCTTCAAGCATCCAAGTTTTGCTAACTTCTTTCAAATCCAATCAAAATGAGAAATATTATATCGGCTTCTTCCTTCAAAGAAGTGCCAATAGTAATTACTGCACATATCTACATAATATGCAAAATGCAAACCTTGAGAATTTGATTAAAACAAATTTTAAAATACAGTTTGTGGTCATAAAGGGTAACCAAGTGATTAAAATTACAGTGACCAAAAAACATGTCACAAAATTATGTCTCTTTCAGATGCTTTTTAAAAAAGGCTTTTACAATCAGTATTACAAAGAGGTGACCAAATATACCAAATTACTTAAATTACAGCCAAAATAAACATGATGTGGTTTTCAGGTGTTTTTGAAAAGGATCTTGGAAACATTACAAAACGCGCCTCACCTGAATGTATTTTCTTATGCTTTGTAAGGTGATCGTGACGAATGAACGTTTTCCCACATTCATCGCACTCATATCTTTTATCGTCGTGATGTACTCGTAAGTGAAGTCTATGAAGAAAAAAAATTGAAGCCCATTGACACTAGTGACACAGAAGGAAAAAAAAATTGAAGCCCATTGACACTAGTGACACAGAAGGAAAAAACTTGGTTAACTCTAAATAACAAGAGCTGGCTGCTTACTCAACCACGCTCACCCATTATTTGCTCCATTTCTGACTTTCAGGGTCCTTCCCACTTTCACCACCTGACTCCAGGGCTCCCACTCACCAGTTTCAAAGCAGCACTTCAACATCTGCACAGGCTCCCACGACCTCTGGATGATACTCCTTCCTGACTTTAAGATCCTAAATCTGCTTCTGGGAACCTACCAAATGTCTAGGGGCGTCAGCCGATGTTGCAGAGGGAGCAAAAGGAGGACTGAATCAGATGGAATTAGAATCGGACACTGGGGGTAAGTGCACAAGTGACTTAAACATATGATGATAGCAAATTACTAAGGATTAATCCTATTCTGGACAACCGACACCACTTACACACTGACAGTTGAGAACTTAGCAAATCTGATAAGTAATCAACTTTCTGACAATCACATTTTACTACTTTTCTTCACACTAAACAAATAAAGTGTGGCTCATTTCATAGTCACCCAAAAACAGATTATAAAAGGTTAGTATAATAGGTTATTAAAATTCATTTAATTTGAATTACTTTTATCCCCACAATCCTCCAACTATATATCAATACATCCTAGTGAAATGAACAGCCTTCCCATTCAAGTTGTCCAAACAGGTATTGATTCCCCTATGACTAAAACCAGTAAATGGACTGGACTACATCTAAAGGGGAAACCTTCTGTTTAAACTTAAAAAGAGGTAAGTAAGAAATGATAGTGTAAAACCTAGATTCTTAAGAATATTAACAAAATTTGAAATTGTATACATATCTCACAGTAAGTAATCTATTATTTATTCATTAAAAAACTACTTTTCATAAATTGCAAATGTAGTCAGCACTCAGCTATACAAATATTACGTAAGTTACAACTAATACTCAGAAGACATTCTAAAACTGAGAATCCTGGAGTTTTTAATTTTGTCATATTTTCATACTAAAATATTATTTGATAATTAGGACTGAAAAAATACACCAACTTTAGAACACCAGAGTTTTCATGAATTTTGATTCAAAGAAAAATAATGAAATATTTAAATGACAATGACTTAGACAGTAAAGCATTCACCAAACTTAGTGATGAGGAAATATTTTAAAATATTTTATACTATAAAATGAATATTAAAAGGTAGGGGCAAAAGTCTACAGTTTTCTGCCCAACTTTGCTTATCACAAGTGCTAAGACATGTTTTAATTCATCAAACAACTAACGCAATGATAAGAAAAGAGAGTTTTTTAAAATGGAGATATAATTTTATCGTACCTAATATTGGGGAAAAAAGTGGTTTGACCTACCTGTATGAGCTTCCATGACGAAAACTTTGCCCACAAATACTACAAAGATGAGGCTTTTCTCCACTATGGATTCTCAAATGTTCTTTCAAAGTAGTTCTGAATTAAAAAAAATATATATATATTTAGCTACGGATTTTTTAATGCCAACGTATGTATTAAACACAGATTTCTAGAAAGCTTACTAGAACAGTGTTCAAGCTAACAGATAACGATGTCAATTATTCCCTTTTTCCTACAATATGTTTGCTCTTTATTGGATTAGTCGCACCAGCAAAATAAACATGTTTATTATGTCTCTCTCCTTAAAAAAAGCAAATGATTTAACTTTGCCATTGGTTTGCTCTAAGATTTAATATATAGCTTATGTAAACTTCCAAGAAATACAAATGAAAAATGCTCAATTGTCACTACTGATTACATAAAACTGACATTAATTTTAGTGGACAGTGTTTAATAATATATAAGAAATCCAATTTATCAGTACTATTCCTTTCCAATATGTGCTCAAAACTTGTTAAAAGAATGTTTTAAGGCAAAGAAAACTTTACAGGCACTTGTAATTTCCAGATGCCAACGTTATAAAGGGAAACCACATAAAGGACACAACTCTTGCTAGCCCTGACGACCCTGGATGGGCCACTGTGTAACCACTGCTGCATTTCCGACAGTTCTAACATTCCGAGATTTCCCATGTACATACACTGCTGAGTAAGGATGGACAAAGTTATTCTGGGGGGAAGAAAGGAAAACACATGGAAAGGTTGTTTTCTTTTTTGGTTTGTTTGCTTTTTGTTTTTACAGGAAGACCTTTAAGGGAAAAAAATTTATAATGCATAAGATAAACTATAATTTACCAATCTGTAAATACAAGTTTTCATATAAATAAAGCACATTGATTTCCCTGCCATCATACCCATTTCTTTGTTTTAGGAAACTGGCATTTCTAATCTTTTTAAAATAATGAACTTCTATATACTGAAGAATATAAATATACACATATTGTTTAAAGAACAGTACCAAACGCTGATATGCAGGATAAGACAGAGAACACTCCCATCCCTTACAACACCCCACATGCTCCTCCCTGGTCCTATCCCCCACCACGTCCCTCTCTCAGAAATAACCATTTATGTAAGTATGCCCTTTCTTTGCTTTACTACCTATATAGTACAAATCACTAAACTATGTATTGTATGTTTTTGAAAAACTGAGTAGCAAGCACAAACCTAACAATATGGCCACTACTGGATAAAAGGCCCACAAGGTAATAGCAGCAGGGTCTCCATGTTGGTCTGGCCGCTCAGCTTCCTGAGCGTTGGCACCAGCCCTTTCCAGGCTGTCAGCAGTAAAGTCACGACCAAATACTGCAAAGCATAGGGTTCATCCCAACCAGAACATCTGGCTGGCTGGAGGGGACCTGGTACTGGAATCTGGCAGAGACACGGTCAAAGTGAGTAGGCTGTTGTGTATTATTTGGCTCCTAGGCGTACCATGACCTATGTCTAGTTCTCATGGACAGGTCACAAAAGAACATTTCTGTGAAATGAAATGAGTATCCTCAGTTAAATCAAGCAGCCAGGCATAAAGACAATAGCAGGAGCCTCTTAAGCATACAGGTATTATACAGCCAGCAGAATACAGATGAAAATTTGGGTCAGCGAGGGGGACATGGGGAGTTGCTGTTCATGGGTATGAGGTTTCAGTTACACAAGATGAGTAAGTTCTAGAGACCCAGTGTACAGCATTGTGCCTGTGGTTATCAACACCACATTGTACACCCAAACATGTGCTAAGAGGGTAGATCTCGTGTTAAATGTTCTTACCACAGTAAAACAATAAAGCCTTGGGGTCAGACCTACTCCAGCATTCTGCCCACTAGTTAACAGAGGAAACATGTCAGCAGGGATCTTAGCACTGACTACCCTCAACATGTCATGGGTCACGGCCACTATGAGTGTGGACTCAGTACCCATCACATGATCACATGTGACACCCTGGGATCTTCATTCACCATCCTGCACATGTGACACCCTGGGATCTTCATTCACCATCCTGCACATGTGACACCCTGGGATCTTCATTCACCATCCTGCACATGTGACACCCTGGGATCTTCATTCACCATCCTGCACATGTGACACCCTGGGATCTTCATTCACCATCCTGCACATGTGACACCCTGGGATCTTCATTCACCATCCTGCACATGTGACACCCTGGGATCTTCATTCACCATCCTGCACATGTGACACCCTGGGATCTTCATTCACCATCCTGCACATGTGACATCCTGGGATCTTCATTCACCATCCTGCACATGTGACACCCTGGGATCTTCATTCACCATCCTCCCGTGAACTCCCTTTGGCTCTTTACTGTATTAAAATTCCTGTTTCCTGTTGCCTGGTCTTCCTCTTCATCAGTTTACTTTCTCATTCTGGTGAAGCACACCTTCTAGGGGCTTCATGAGAAAGATTACAGTGAAAGCTAATTTTTTGACATCATGAAGAGTATCCTTATTATCCTCAGACTTGTTGACAGTTTGATTAAGAACAGAATTCTAGGTTGGAATTTCTTTTTTTTCCCCAAATTTTGAAGGTACAACTGGACCACCTTACTTCCAGGGCTGCTGCTCAGAGGGAAGTCCGAGTAACTCTCATTCTTAATTCCACGTGTGCGACTTTCTCCCTAGAAAAAACAGAAGCACAGACAGGCTTCTCCTTGTCCCCAGTGTTCTGAAACATCATAGTGCTGCACCTTGGAGTAGGTTTATTTTCATCTAATGTCCTAAGCATTTAGTGGGTCATTTCTGTCTGGCAACTCATGTCTTTCAGTTCTGGGAAATCATCTTGAACTATTTCAGCGATGATTTTATTCCCTTCCATTTTCTCTGTTCTTTCCTTCTGGACCTCTTGCCTAGTTTCCAAATGTTCTAATCTTTACTTTACAATTCTGTATTTTTTTGCTCTACTTTTTTGGAGATCCCTTAACTTTGTCCTGCAATCCATCTGTTAAGGTCTTTACTTTGTGGATCATGCTTTGAATTTCTGGGAGTTCTGATTTGTCACGTCAGTGACTCATTTGTATAACATCCTGTTCTTGTTTAATGGATTCTATATCTTCAACTGAGGATATTAGTAATTGTTTACTTCTTTTTTTGCAAGTTTTCTTCTTCCTGCATAATGTTTCCTTCAAGTTTTTGTTTCGTTTCGTGTTGGAATAAATCTCCCATGTTAAAGGTTCTCCTTCTGTGTCTTGTAATTCTTCACTGTCTGCTCATGATTAAGTGTGATAGGCTAAACACAGATGGGAGGATCAGGGAGCATGGGTAGGCCTTGATGACTCTGTGTTTCACTGTAGGTGGTCTGGGTGTATTATTTACCAGGGAATATATTTGTTCTTTGGTTGCTCATGTTTTCAGGGAATCGTTTTCTAATCTACTGTCTGAAGGGTAAAATCTAAAAGCCAAGATGTCCAGCAGCAACGGCCTGTGTGGGTGATGGAAGAGAAGCCAATGATCTAACTTAACTTCTAGAGCAGTTCTGACTCTAGTGCTCCTTACTCCAGCTGTTCTTCACCCTAGTTCCAGAGGCATCTGAGACTGCCAGTTCCCATACCTTTTGTGGCTTCTGGGATGTAAGCTAGGTTCTCAATTTCTCCATTGCCACTTTGGGATCTGTCTTCCTCAGATCTGCTAAGTCAGTTACCACTGATACATCTGCTTTCTAGCTTCCAAACCTGTGTTGCTCTTGTCATTTTTCTGTCTCACTGTCTTTGTAGCTTATGTCTTTAAAATAAATAAATGAATGAATAAACAACCTTCTACAACATATTACATAATTTCTTTTATCCTTAAATTTCAAATTAAAGCATAATTCAAGTATCTTGTGTCTTGTGTTACCCTAATCCTTATAAAATACATTCATTAATTATTTCTACATAACAGTACCAGGATGTTTCTGGGTATTTAGATTATTCCTCACCTTTCTCGTACTGATTTCCCACAGATAAAGCAAGTCCATTTTCTCTTTCCACCATGGGTACACTCTATATGGCGTTTCAAATTTCCAGTGTCGTTAAACTGGCGACCGCATATATCACATGGAAAAGGACCTAAAATGGAAAAAATAGTGTGTATCTAAACTTTAAGAATAGATACTAAGTTAAATTTAATATGTATGTTATAAATTCATATCTACCACTACTAATGCATATATCATAACACAATCAGTTATTATTTTTATACAATTATTATTTCTTACACAATCAATTATTTATTTATAGTTTTCTCTTCCCTTCTAGAGTGTTTATTTTATTCCCAGCAGATAGGTTACAATCATCTCTATATTCCTAAAGCTGAGTATAGCACCAGGCATCTAATATAACAAAAGCTGAATAAACTAATGAGTTTATTATAAACTGAAATAGCCAGTTCCCAGTTTGAAATCAGACTGGGTCAAACTAAAAAATGTTACATATCGAATTTCTGGGGAAAGGAGGTAATGAGAAGCTTTAAAGAACCAACAGAACACTAAGAGAGCTCATGGTTTAGAAAGGCACTGCTGCTCCTTAGAGCCAAAAGATCTTAATGACACTGCCTCTACCGAAAAGACTGTGGCACATTTCTGTTTAGTCGTACAAAATTAAATACAAATTTCTTACAGTAATATTGACCTTAGCTGGATTCAAAATTTCACCATGATTTTACCAAATAACTGGAGAGAACACAGAGTTCTACTGAAGGGCAAACTGAAAAGATGACAAAGGATGTGTGAAAAAGAAGTATAACTCAGGTTGCTTCACCACTCCCCACCCCGATATCTGTGGATTCAACCAACTCCAGGCAGAAAATATTTGAAAAAAATTCCAGAAAGTTCCAAAAAGCAAAACTTGAATTTGCCAGGCACTGGCAACCATTTACATAGCATTTATATTGTATTTACAACTATTTAAATAGTATTTACATTGTATTAGGTATTATAAGTAATCTAAAGATGATTTAAAGTATACAGGAGGATGTGCACAGGTTATATGCAAATGCTACACCATTTTATACAAGGGACTGGGGCATCCTTGGATTTGGGTATCTGGAGAGGTCCTGGAACCAACCCCTATGGATACTGAGGGATAACTGTATTCCTCATTGTGCAATAGAGCCTTGAAAATATCTGAAGATGGCTGTCATGTCTCCTTTTCCCAAACAAAATATTTCAAGGTCCTTCAAAAGTTTTTCAGATGACATGATTTTAAAGCTCTATGTTGCCATAATTACCCACCTCTAGAATATATGTCAGTATCCATTTTGAATGTGGTATCCATAAATGAATGCAATATTCCAGATCAATTTAAAATCAGCCAGATGATTACCTTCCTAATTCTGAACATTTTTATTAATGTAGTTTAAAACTACAGTTGTTTTGTTCAGTCATATGATGTTACTGGTTCAGACTGTGCCTCTGCTATTAATAAGCCCATCTGAAAAGTGAGGCATTTGGATTCTGTACTATTTTACAGCTCTGCAACTCCCAATGATTAAAAAAAGTCAGATCATTCCCATGTGTACAACTTTGTATTTATTCTTAATTAATTTTAACTTTTTCTTTTTTACAGCACAGAGTTTTTTTTTCTACTTCTTTATTTTCTGCTGTATCAACTATCCCTGCCAGCTTTATGTCATGTAACATATTGATAAAGCATGAAATATATTATTTTTATCCAAGTTGTCAATAAAAACATTGAATAGGATAGGGAAAAGGCTACTTGAAAGATAATAATTCATTATTGGGAGCAACTGTCATAAATGTACCTAACTGTACTACCATCTGGAACACAAGTCTCCACCTTGGCCATAAGCATGAGGGGCAGAATTCATCAAATACAATACTGAATTTCAAATATACTAAGTTTACTACACTCTGTGAAAAATGAGTTTTTTCCAAGACAAAAATGCCTACCCCAAGGCACTCACAACCTATCCAACAATCAACTATAAATAACTGCAGTTATGACCATGAACACATCTGCCACCAGAAAACAAAACAAAACAAACCCCATATTTACTCATCTCCAAGAAAAGCAGCAAATCCAGTACCCCTCCCCACGTACACGACCTCCTTCTCCTAGTGATTCGACAGCAGCAGCCTCCTCCAGCATGACATGACCACCAGCAGTTGCTATGCTGCTCCTAGGAAAATTAATCTGCTTACCCAGATGGAACTTCTCTTGATGCTTTAACCGTGCAAATCGTGATTTAAAATGTTCTTCACAATAGGTACACTTAAAAGGTTTATCTTGAGAATGGAGAATCATATGTTCCTCCAAGTGTGGTCTTCGAGTAAAAGATTTCTTACAAATCTAAAAGAAAATGCACACAAAATGTAAGGGAACCTGAATTTAAAATAAAAATACAAAGCTCATGATGAGAAATAAACACATATATTCAAGTAGCTAAAGAGAAATTTCTCCTAAAAGAAAAAACTTACCAGAAGTATAATCAACTATTGTTCAGAAAAAATACCTTGGAGGAATTACAGTAAGAATTTACTTTAAATCAGTACTAAAGTTAGCTAAATTTCAACACCTTACATTTCTAATAGGCGACAGTAATCCTACTATCTTAATCCTGGTCAACATTTCTAAATCCATTAAATTTATATTTTAAATCGAGGGCTTCCGGGAAGATGGCGGAGGAGCAGGACACGGAGATCGCCTTCCTCCCCACAGATACACCAGAAATATATCTACACGTGGAGCAACTCCAGCAGAGCACCTACTGACTGCTGGCAGAAGACCTCAGACCTCTCTAAAGGCAAGAAACTCCCCACGGACCTGGGTAGGGCAAAAGAAAAAAGAATAAACAGAGACAAAAGGATAGAGACAGGACCTGCACCAGTGGGACGAAGCTGTGAAGGAGGAAAGGTTTCCACACACTAGGAAGCCCCTTCGCAGGCGGAGACTGCGGGTGGCAGAGGGGGAAAGCTTCGGAACCACGGTGGAGAGCGGAGCAACAGGGGTGCGGAGGGAAAGCGGAGAGATTCCCGCACAGAGGATCAGGGCCGACTGGCACTCATCAGCTCGAGAGGCTTGTGTGCTCGCCCGCCGGGGCGGGCGGGGCTGCGAGCTGAGGCTCCGGCTTTGGTCAGAGCGCCGGGAGAGGACTGGGTTGGCCTGAGCATAGCCTGCAGGGGTCTGGTGGGCCACGGCTGGCCGGGAGGGAGTCTGGGGAAGAGTCTGGACCTGCCGAAGAGGCAAGAGACTTTTTCTTCCCTCTTTGTTTCATGGTGTGCGAGGAGAGGGGATTAAGAACGCTGCTTAAAGGAGCTCCAGACACGGGCGCAAGCCGCGGCTGACAGCGCGGACCCCGGAGACGGGCATCAGACGCTAAGGCTGTTGCTGCCGCCACCAAGAAGCCTGTGTGCAAGCACAGGTCACTGTCCACACCCCCCACTTCCGGGGAGCCCGTGCAGCCCGCCACTGCCAGGGTTCCGTGATCCACGGACAACTTCCCCAGGAGACTGCACAGCGCGCCTCAGGCTGGTGCAACGTCACGCCGGCCTCTGCCGCCGCAGGCCCGCCCCGCACTCCGTGCCCCTCCCTCCCCGCGGCCTGAGTGAGCCAGAGCCCCCGAATCAGCGGTTCCTTTAACCCCGTCCTGTATGAGTGAAGAACAGACGCCCTCCAGCGACCAACACGCAGAGGCGGGGCCAAATACAAAGCTGAGCCCCTGGAGCCATGCAAACAAAGAGAAAGGGAAATCTCTCCCAGCAGCCTCAGAAGCAGCGGATTAAAGCTCCACAATCAACTTGATGTACCTGCATCTGTGGAATAGCTGAATAGACAACGAATCATCCCAAATTGAGGAGGTGGACTTTGAGAGCAAGATTTATGGTTTTTTCCCCTTTTCCTCTTTCTGTGAGTGTGTATGTATATGCTTCTGTATGAGATTTTGTCTGTATAGCTTTGCTTCCACCATTTGTCCGAGGGTTCTATCCATCCATCTTTTTCTTTTTTCGTAATAATTACTTTTTATACTTTATCTTCATTCCTTCTTTCCTTCCTTCCCTCCTTTAGACAACGAATCATCCCAAATTGAGGAGGTGGACTTTGAGAGCAAGATTTATGATTTTTTCCCCTTTTCCTCTTTTTGTGAGTGTGTATGTGTATGCTTCTGTGTGAGATTTTGTCTGTATAGCTTTGATTCCACCATTTGTCCTAGGGTTCTATCCATCCGTTTTTCTTCTTTCCTTTTAATAATTATTTTTTTATTTTAATAACTTTATTATATTTTCTTATTTTACTTTATCTTTTCTTTTTTTCCCTTCCTTCCCTCATTCCTTCCTTCCTTCCTCTCTCCCTCCCTCCATCCCTCCCTCCGCCCTTGCTTTCTTTCTTTCTTTCTACTTCTACTAATTCTTTCTTTCTACTTTTTCTCCCTTTTATTCTGATCTGTGTGGATGAAAGGCTCTTGGTGCTGCAGCCAGGAGTCAGTGCTCTGCCTCTGAGGTGGGAGAGCCAACTTCAGGACACTGGTCAACTAGAGACCTCCCAGCTCCACATAATATCGAACGGCGAAAATCTCCCAGAGATCTCCATCTCAATACCAGTACCCAGCTTCACTCAATGACCAGCAAGCTACAGTGCTGGACATCCTATGCCAAACAACTAGCAAGACAGGAACAAAATCCCACCCATAAGCAGAGAGGCTGCCTAAAATCATAAGTCGACAGGCACCCCAAAACACACCACCAGACGTGGACCTGCCCACCAGAAAGACAAGATCCAGCCTCATCCACCAAAACACAGGCACTAGTCCCCTCCACCAGGAAGCCTACACAACCCACTGAACTAACCTTAGCCACCTGGGGACAGACACCAAAAACAACGGGAACTATGAACCTACAGCCTGCAAAAAGGAGACCCCCAAACACAGTAAGATAAGCAAAATGAGAAGACAGAAAAACACACAGCAGATGAAGGAGCAAGATAAAAACCCACCAGACCTAACAAATGAAAAGGAAATAGGCAGTCTACCTGAAAAAGAATTCAGAATAATGATAGTAAAGATGATCCAAAATCTTGGAAATAGAATGGACAAAATGCAAGAAACATTTAACAAGGACCTAGAAGAACTAAAGATGAAACAAACAATGATGAACAACACAATAAATGAAATGAAAAATACTCTAAATGGGATCAATAGCAGAATAACTGAGGTGGAAGAACGGATAAGTGACCTGGAAGATAAAATAGTGGAAATAACTACTGCAGAGCAGAATAAAGAAAAAAGAATGAAAAGAACTGAGGACAGTCTCAGAGACCTCTGGGACAACATTAAACGCACCAACATTCGAATTATAGGGGTTCCAGAAGAAGAAGAGAAAAAGAAAGGGACTGAGAAAATATTTGAAGAGATTATAGTTGAAAACTTCCCTAATATGGGAAAGGAAATAGTTAATCAAGTCCAGGAAGCACAGAGAGTCCCATACAGGATAAATTCAAGGAGAAATACGCCAAGACACATATTAATCAAACTGTCAAAAACTAAATACAAAGAAAGCATATTAAAAGCAGCAAGGGAAAAACAACAAATAACACACAAGGGAATCCCCATAAGGTTAACAGCTGATCTTTCAGCAGAAACTCCGCAAGCCAGAAGGGACTGGCAGGACACATCTAAAAAGATGAAGGAGAAAAACCTGCAACCAAGATTACTCTACCCAGCAAGGATCTCATTCAGATTTGATAGAGAAATTAAAACCTTTACAGACAAGCAAAAGCTGAGAGAGTTCAGCACCACCAAACCAGCTTTACAACAACTGCTAAAGGAACTTCTCTAAGCAAGAAACACAACAGAAGGAAAAGACCTACAATAACGAACCCAAAACAATGAAGAAAATGGGACTAGGAACATACATATCGATAATTACCTTAAATGTAAATGGACTAAATGCTCCCACCAAAAGACACAGATTGGCTGAATGGATTCAAAAACAAGACCCATATATTTGCTGTCTACAAGACACCCACTTCAGACCTAGAGACACATACAGACTGAAAGTAAGGGGATGGAAAATGATATTTCATGCAAATGGAAACCAAAAGAAAGCTGGAGTAGCAATTTTCACATCAGACAAAATAGACTTTAAAATAGACTATTAGAAGAGACAAAGAAGGACACTACGTAATGATCAAGGGATCGATCCAAGAAGAAGATATAACAATTGTAAATATTTATGCACCCAACATAGGAGCACCTCAATACATAAGGCAAATACTAACAGCCATAAAAGGGGAAATCGACAGTAACACATTCATAGTAGGGGACTTTAACACCCCACTTTCACCAATGGACAGATCATCCAAAATGAAAATAAATAAGGAAACACAAGCTTTAAATGATACATTAAACAAGATGGACTTAATTGATATTTATAGGACACTCCATCCAAAAACAACAGAATACACATTTTTCTCAAGTGCTCATGGAACATTCTCCAGGATAGATCATAACTTGGGTTACAAATCAAGCCTTGGTAAATTTAAGAAAATTGACATTGTATCAAGTATCTTTTCCGACCACAACACTATGAGACGAGATATCAATTACACGAAAAGATCTGCAAAAAATACAAACTCATGGAGGCTAAACAATACACTACTTAATAACGAAGTGATCACTGAAGAAATCAAAGAGGAAATCAAAAAATACCTAGAAACAAAAGACAATGGAGACACGACGACCCAAAATCTATGGGATGTAGCAAAAGCAGTTCTAAGAGGGAAGTTTATAGCAATATAGTCCTACCTTAAGAAATAGGAAACATCTTGAATAAACAACCTAACCTTGCACCTAAAGCAATTAGAGAAAGAAGAACAAAAACCCCCAAAGTTAGCAAAAGGAAAGAAATCATAAAGATCAGGATCAGAAATAAATGAAAAAGAAATGAAGGAAACAATAGCAAAGATCAATAAAACTAAAAGCTGGTTCTTTGAGAAGATTAACAAAATTGATAAACCATTAGCCAGACTCATCAAGAAAAAAAGGGAGAAGACTCAAATCAATAGAATCAGAAATGAAAAAGGAGAAGTAACAACTGACACTGCAGAAATACAAAAAATCATGAGGGATTACTACAAGCAACTCTATGCCAATAAAATGGACAATCTGGAAGAAATGGACAAATTCTTAGAAATGCACAAACTGCCAAGACTGAATCAGGAAGAAATAGAAAATATGAACAGACCAATCACAAACACTGAAATTGAAACTGTGATTAAAAATCTTCCAACAAACAAAAGCCCAGGACCAGATGGCTTCACAGGCGAATTCTATCAAACATTTAGAGAAGAGCTAA